ACGGCTCATCAGAGAATTGATTTACCTAGGCCCGAGAACAGACCACCTTGCAGACGTCTTCCCCCGCGATATCACTTATTTCCCACGTGGAGGACAGGGGGGCGGTGAGATAGAACCCCTGAACATCGGCCATCGCCCACATCCAATTAGTGGCCCGAGCAGTCGAGGACGATGCGCAAGCCGAGACGAACGAGGTGGTCTGATCGTCGGTTACGATGGGAATTCGTACAAGCACATACTATAATACGATACCTTACGGAAAACAGCATCTTCCTTCGATGCGTCGACGCGGGAAGTCGATGTAACAATGCATTGCCGTATGTGCCTCTCATACGGAGCTTGTTTATATCGCAATACGAAGCTGCTTCTGCACATGACGGCCTCCCACACTTCAATTGTCGCAAGGAGGCTGATGCTTCGTTTGTGCGCGACACTAGTGAAATCCGATCGACTGTCGGTTATAATGTAGGTAGATATCTAGAGTATTGCATACATGTGTATGTACATACCTATTCTATGATATTATCAGCGGGCGTTGATTATTGAATTTATCCATGAAACTACCCAAGATGCTAGTCTCTTTCTAGGCACGCTGCCGCGTAACAGATAGAAATGGCTGAGGCGTCCTTTCGATATCACCTCATCGCTCAAGCCTCATAATCATTATTGTTTGACCCAGGGGTGAAAGATTAGGAAACCCGATCGTATCCTCTTTTCTACTGTCTCCGGGAAGATGTATCGTCTAAGGCTCGATCGCCCGAGAGTACTACTGCATAAGGCCGGTAATGTGGGGGAATTAGCGAGCGTGCTCTATCGATCGACTTGGTGTGGCGCCTTTTATGAGGAATATACCAAACTTCCTCTCTGACAGGTACCAGTACTCGCACCATGATCGTTAGCCGTTACTAGCCCACTACCACGAAACATACCTGGTAAGATCTCTAATGACATCGATATTGATATTACCAAGCCCACCGTATCGTCCTTTTGTTCTTTTTCGCGCAAATTTCCCATTCCCCATCCCAGTTATGCGCCAACCGCATTGGATATGGTCACGCGGCCACTAAAACAGGCCAAGGGTGCCGAATGACGGATAAGCGGGAGCTTTCGTCCATCAACGAGACAAGTCGGTCTGACAGGCACGAACTAATCGTCGAAGATCATCGACCCCTCGCTAACCTTCAACCCTCCACCACGAAGCGTATATCGCGTGCGGGAGAGGGTGGGCAGCACTCTAATGGCGCATCATCAAAGGTGTTATGAAATATGTAGCAGTGGGGGCCCTGCCCAACAAGACGAAATTCAATACGTACGCAGTCATACACATGTTACGGAGTATGTAATAGTGATCGAATTGCGACACGGCGAGTGGCTGAACAAGCCACCGTCGTATTCGACGATTAATAAGTAACACCGCGGTCCGGGGGTGGTTACTGATCGGCGCGGACCCCAATCTCTCTCCTATCATACGACGCGGAAAAGGGATGGTCCCATGTATGGTTAATGGACCGTAGCATCGCATTCATCACCGCAGAGAAGAGTGAGTGAACGAAGCCGAAGGGCGAGGGAGGAAAACCCCCGCCACTCTGCCGAGGGAATCCGAAGCTCTGGGTTCGCCAAGCGTCTCTGATCTGCAATCTCGCGACACACGTGTCCCAGGAGGCACAGTCCCAATGGTACGCGTAGGATAGGATTGGGACCTAGGCCGCAGATGCAGCCCGATAAGCTTGATGAGGAGATAGCTATGTACGAGGTATAGTATCAGTCGTGACGACGAAGGAGGGACGAAGGGGGAGGGGTCCGACCTCACGCAACCCTCTCGTTCCCTCTCTCGGCCAATCTTATGTCTCGATCTATCTCCCGATCGGCCAATAGTAAACTCTCCCAAGGAACTTCTCTCCCGCCCTACCCACGCTGGTGTGTGTCACACCAGTCAGGGCAGAGGGGAAAGATCATGATAATTGGAGGATGCGGAAGATGGAGGGGTGAGTGACGGTACGGCACGACACCGTTATTTGTGATGTGGTGATACATTCTACCCTCTTCTCCTACTCATACAGTGACATATACACACATATACACTAAACGGACGTACGGAGTATACCCTCCTACTTGCTTCTACTTGCCTCTATTTGCCAATACTAGTAATACCCAATGCCTACCGGGATTGCGCAACCTAACTCCTAAATGACCGACGGAAACGACACTTTCAAACAAGGTAATATTTCCTATCGTCAGCTGACGATACACCCTTATAGAGTATGAATTATCGATGATATTATGAGCATTATAGACCGCACTGGGGCCTGCTGAGAGCAGATCCTGCCTTCAATATCCGATCGACGACGGGTAGTGTAGGTAGCAATAGTAAAAATAAGAATAAATACCTAATCAGAAAAGTAAAATAAAATCTCCGTGGATCCCGAGCCATCCCCAACTCGGCGAACTTTGCACTCCCAACGATGACATGACGACTGGGGTAAGAAGGAAGCATGGTTTCGTATGTACTGTACATCTATCTATCTTATGTCGTAGCGCAGGCAGGCTGAGTAGAGCCCAGGGGTGGTCGCCGCACGCCAAAACGCCAAACGAGAAAGAGGCTAACGAACCGACTCTACTTTGTTTGATAACTTGCATGCCCAGCCTAGCTCAGCCAGCCCAAGCCTGTAAACATCTAAACGCCATGTCTACCTAGCATGTCTTGACGGATTTGCTTACAGCATCAAGAAGATGCAGTTCGCATATCGCATAGACAATCTATATGCTTACCGCGCGCATTAGTCCTGTAGTCGCGGTTGGATGGAGTCTGACCTCCTGACTAGGAGAATTCAAAAAAGATTATGGGTGGTCATAACCATAATAGAATGCGCCACGGACCTGTTTGCTGACTTTCTTTACTGAACCTGGAAGAGCGCTTACGAGAGGTCAGTTCAAAAATACCTGATCTAGCCGCCTTAGTTCCGCATGCACTCCGCCGCAACCGGGGTATCAAAACCCGATGCACGGGGGGCTAGTATCCAGGCCCGGGACTGCGGTAAATGACCGTTCCTTCTCGGTACGACATGAGAAGACATCCTTGGATGGATGATATACTCCAAATTTAACTCCTAACCACAACCAACCCTGATTCCAGTAACCCTAGACAGACAATTGTTGGCCTACTGCTTGTCGATCGACACCGCAATGTGAAAACGTATAAGACAAACAACGGCCGCCGATGCGGCCGGGCTATGCGGGGATATCATGAAAACCGGCCGGAGCTTCGCTAGGACTAGGTCGGCGATAAGACCTGTTTGCTCTAGGCATCTATTTACGGTTCCCCGAGCACGTCGCAATCTAGGTAGACACTCGCACACCCTTTGGTAGTCCTTCCCTTAGGCAGGCAGCGCATGTAGACAAATTTAGAAATATTTGCAGTAAATATTGTTCAATAATCATATTGACACATCACAAAGCGCGGCGAACAGTTCCACGTTAGGAATCCAAGAGCCTGCGTGTTGGGAGTCGCAATTCCGTGCGCGCATTACTATCGTTCAACCACAGTGAAGATTTCAAGCCACAAAATTCATCATCACCGCCAAGGTGAAATGATCGCCTAACAAGGTCAATCCTATGATGTCCTCGGTGTGAACGTTCTGGTGCCGAGTATGATGTGTCGTATTGCTTCGTGTTGTACGTTGGTGACGGTGTGCACCATTCCACCTGCATTGTGATACCTGCCCACGCTCTTGACGTCTCAACGAGGAACATACATAATGACTAGATATTTCGATGGACGAGTACAGATACGTCTACCACGATCGAGATATCCTCCTTTCTGACCGTATCTACCAATTTGGCTAAGCTTCGAAGCTACCTTGAAATAATGGCTTGTCCAAATAAAGCATGCCTAGAGCTAGTTTAGGTATTAGTTGAAGCGCATGAATATGTTAAGGTCATTGTGTGAAATTTATATTCAGAAAGATATGGTAATATAACTACCTAGTTGGCTTTACATCAGTATAGGAACTAGTTACTTAGGTAGGTATATGGACATTCATCCTCCGCAAAGAGAAAAAGTTAAAATGCTAGAACCAAAACTCCTCAAACATATTAGGCTCAGACTCCATGACACGAATTATCTTTACTGAACCCTCTCGTAGGATAGTGTAATAAAGATCGTATACCCCTATTCCTATACTCAGTACAACTCCCACTAGGATGGAGCTAAAAACTTGCTCTTCCAAACCCATCTGTAGGCAAGTATCACTCAAATCATATTGGAAGTTAGAACGAGCTCGCAAACCATTATCTGGAAATCAACTCATCGTTGACCTCTCTCTGCTGCTCCGAACTACGAGCCGAGAAGTGTCGGCGCGGCACGGGAAGCAGCAACCCCTTACGTGAGCCCCAGCCCCGATATCACGCACATAATCTACGGCCCGGATCCGGCGGCGCGGCTCGGTAGTTACCTGCCCCACGGTTCTCGTGAGTTTGTTACTGAAGATCCTAATGTTTGACGTAACCTCTCGTGCGTAAGCTACCTATCCATAGCGTCTAGTAGGTAGGTAGTCTAAATTGACCACTCGTCTCTAGCCCAAGTATCTAGCTCCAAGGGGTAAGTAAAAACCAAGACCAGACCGCCTTCCTTATTCTCACTCTCTCATCTCATGATTTCTCACTTTCTTAGCACATACGTACATACATACGTACATACTAAAACATGCAGTCAGTCCCGTGGAAGTCTATACATCCACATCTCATGTAAATCTCCACGGAGTCTATCTATCTAGCGTAAGACTTTGCCAATTGAACTCCCCTCACGAAAAATTCTTCAGAGTAAAGAAGCAGGGAAACCCCCGAATCGGCATATCTACGGGTTGGGGGCTAGACAGGCGGTGTACAATTCTAGTTGCAAAAAAAGTGTCAACGATTTCAAATCATTCTGCATAGAAACGTATCCGTACGTCACGATACATCGAGCGAAGCCGGTCTTAGGGAATTCATTTAGATTAAAAAAACCATCGAGATTAGCTAATAAGTCTTAGTCTGCGTATGTTGATTTGCTTAGCCTATCTCCCCTTCTCTAGTAGGAGGCTGCATTGGTCTTGCATAACACATGTACATACACATGCGCATATACACATACAACGTGGCCTAGGTAAGGAGGCGTACTATGAATGTACGGGTAATGCATCTATGGAGAATCCACGACACTGACACGGCGAAGGTCTGAGAAGAATCTGGTGGCGCGGATGGGATAGGTAGATAGGTAGGTATATTGCGACGGTTGCACCGCAGAAGGATCTGAGTTTGCTGCGACAGCAACGTCAACAACAACGATGCTGGCTAAGCCACGCCCGCATACCACACCGCAACGATAATAATAAAAAAACCGATCAACGATTGACGATCTGCCATATCTCGAGAACTCTGGCATCTCATGCCGAATAGATCGCTCTGGAACGCGACATGCGTCCCGCATGCGACTAGTAAGCCGGGCGCGCATGAATAGATGAAAACCCTCGTCAGAAGTCGAAGCGGTCGACCGAATCCTACAGCCCACGTGGTTCGAAGATTGGGGTGACGTGCATGAATGCTACCGCGCGCGAATCCATCGCGTGTAGAGAGAGGCAGAGAGAGAGAGAGGGACGGATGTTCATAGCGTATTAGTAATATGTTGCGAATGGTTCGTGGTGGTTCACGACGGCTCAGCGCCCGCCGGCACTTGGGTGGAGAGGATGAAGTTCTCCATCATAGCCTGGCCTCCGCCCCCAGGTTTCGTCGCATGGCTCCCGGCCGCAGAAGCGGTGGCGGCCTTGCTGCCGCGGCCCGCTTGTTGTTGTTGCTGCTTTTGTTGGGGGCCGGAGCCGATGTTACCGTCGCGGCGCTTGACGACGAGGCACAGCACGCGCCCGTAAATAGAAAATCCCTCGTACGAGATGTCCATGGCCAGTTTCTTCTTGTCGTCCTTGTCCAATCCGGCCCCGGCCTCGGCCTCGGCACTTTCACCCGCTTCTCTTGCTGATCCCTTGCGACGTTTGGACGGTGGCGGCCTCGTGCTAGTGTCGTCGTCATGCACGAACAGGTCGTCCTGGTCGTCTTGATCATCTTCTTCCTGGCTATCCGAGACGATCTCCACATCTTGGTCGGGATCTACGGCTGCTTCTGCTTCTGCTTCTGTTTCTGTATTCTTGCGTGCGCGCTTGGGTCGCCTGCCGCTACTACTGTTGCTATCCGCTGCGGTCTCATCTGCCGCTGGGATGGCTGCCAAGGTCACCGCAGCATCTTCGTCGTCGCTCTCCTCACGTCTGATTACTGGGCCCAGTCCTGTCGTAGCATCGACGTCGATGGGTGCCTCGTTGGTCTCACCAATCAGGCGTCCGGAGTTAGAGGTTAGCTTGGTCTGAGTGGTGTCGTGGAAGTGCTTGTGCTTCGTGAGGAGCGCGTGGCGGGTGCTTGTCTCGGTCAGGAATATGGATACCTCGAAATCATCTATAATGTGTTACATCGCTGCATCATTCTGGTAGATCTTCTCAAGCACCGCGCAGGGTCCCGTGATAGATAATGTACAGTACTCTGCTTCTCTGCGGGTCCGTTGTCCGTTGTCCACTGTCATGATATGGATTCTATGTAGGCTAGATGCTAGATGCTAGGTAATGAGACCTACCTTCGACTACAACATCCTTGATGCCTTTCTTCTTGGTACTCCGCTTCCTACTTCGCTCTCGCTCCTCACGTAGCTTGGGTAATACGAGCGGGCGCACACTCTCGATAACCCTTGGCAGCGCCGGATTCCTCGGATTCAGGAGCCAAGTCTGGGCAAGTGCTGGATTATCTAGGTAAATGCGACATTCAATGACGGAATACTTGGTTATGCGGAGGTATCGGCGTATTGGCGCCATGGCAAGATTGTGCTCGATGCATTTCACGATAGGATTCGGTACTTGTAAACGGCGTAAAGACAATCAATGCGCAAGTCGCTTATGAGGTCACTGTCATCTTTTATCGATAACTCATTTACAGGGACGTAGCTGCCTATGAGGCGCGTACCTGTGGCTGAGGCTCAACGAATTGAGACGAATTCATTGGACAAAGCTGGGATTGGTACCTTTTTAGCCTCACTTGAATGGCTCAAGCTTCATTGTCTATCGATAACGACCACTTAGCTAACCAGCGCTTCACTAAATAAAATTATTGAATTTTCATAATTCACATATCCCCTATAACTACCGCCATTACAATGGTCTGGAGCATACCATGTCGAAATCATGGTCGGCAACGGTGAAATTGCCGAAGTCTACGTTCCCGTAGGTCAATTGCTTTGGCGTGTCTTGCTCTACTCAAACTAATTTTGTCGGATTAGTCCGAGACCTCTTCCTAAACTCCGGGAGCAGTACATTCAGCGATGCGCTGATAGTCTCTATGAGTGGCAGAGGCAAAATCGGCCTGCTGATGACACATTTGTGATTCATGATGGCCCTCCTTACGCCAATGGCAGTCTTCATGTCGGCCATGCGCTGAATAAGATCTTGAAGGATATGATTCTAAGAACGAAAATACAACAAGGTCAGCTTCTAGTTAGACGCAAACTATATCAAACTCCTGAATGACGTGTGTCTTATACCTAGGGATGTGTAGGCCGAAGAGTAGATTATATTCCAGGATGGGATTGTCATGGACTTCCAATCGAGCTCAAGGCTCTCGAGAAGTCTGAGGAGGCTAAACTTACCCCTATCGAGATCCGGAAGTCCGCTCGTAACCTGGCATCCAACACTGTCTTGAAACAGATGAAGGGATTTCGGTCTTTCGGCGTCATGGGCGACTGGGACCAGAGATGGACTACGATGGATGCCGCGTTTGAGATCCGCCAGCTTCGTTTATTCCAACAGATGATCAAGAAGGGCTTGATCTATCGTAGGTTTAAGCCCGTATACTGGTCACCCTCTTCGAAAACTGCCTTGGCCGAGGCCGAGCTAGAATACCGAGACGATCATATTTCGAATTCAGCCTGGATCAGATTCCAAATTGCCGATGAGTGGAGGTCGCTCCCCCAATTCCAAGAATTCCAGGCCCTGGTTGAGGGACAGTTGTACGCTGTGATATGGACCACAACTCCCTGGACGTTACCCGCGAATAGGGCAATTGCTATTCACGATGACTTAGAATACTGTATTGTTCTGTCTGGAGTTAATGCTCTGCTCGTCGCTAAGAGCCGTCTTGATACGTTTATCTCTAAAATCGGCGCGAAAGACCATGTTGTGGTTCTTGGTACACTCGAAGGCAGACAGTTAGCCGGTTTGAAGTACGTCAACCGACTTCGCGGCAAGGCCGGTACTCCACAACCCATTATACATGCAGATTTTGTATCGGCAGACTCGGGGTCTGGACTCGTACATCTCGCTCCCGGTCACGGTTTTGACGACTATGAAGTCTGTCGCTCGCATGGTATTCCCGTGGTAGCTCCGATTGATGATCACGGCAGGTTCACAGAGGATGCTTTCCCCGATCTACCCGAAGCACTACTATCGGCCCCTTCAGTGATCGAAGGTGGCGGTAAGGATGTGCTCAGTCTTCTCCAACTGCATGCCGACGTTTTATGGGCAGAAAAGCACGAGCACAAGTATCCCTACGACTGGCGAACGAAGCAACCCGTAGTTATCCGAGCTACCGAGCAGTGGTTCGCTGATGTTGGATCCATCAAGCAAGAGGCCCTCGAATCCATAAAAGATGTTCGATTCATTCCGGAATCTGGTAGAAAGCGGCTTGAAAGCTTCATCCAGGGCCGAAGCGAGTGGTGCATATCTCGACAGCGTGCTTGGGGTGTTCCTATTCCTGCTCTATACGACGACAAAGGTGCGGCCGTGGTAAATGAAGAAGTGGTCGAACATATCATCTCTGTTATCAAAGAGAGAGGCACACAAGCTTGGTGGTCGGACGCCCCGGACGACACAGCCTGGATCCCGCCTTCACTAAGGGATCAGGGGGAATACCGACGAGGGACAGACACTATGGATGTATGGTTTGACAGCGGGAGTAGTTGGACTATGATGCCAGGCCGCGCAGACGTCTACCTCGAGGGAACTGATCAACACCGTGGATGGTTCCAGTCCAGTCTTCTCACACGAATTGCTGCAGGATCACAAGCAGATGCACGTTTCGAGAAAGGGGCCCCTTTCAAACAGCTGATCACGCACGGGTTCACTCTTGACCAAGACGGAAATAAAATGTCTAAATCATTGGGAAATGTCATAGGGCCGCAAGAAGTCATGGACGGTACTATCGTGCCACCTATCAAACCGAAGAAAAAGCAAGCAGCAGCTCAGGGACAACCTACCTACGATGCTCTAGGTCCAGATGCTCTAAGGCTGTGGGTAGCTAGTAGTAATTATACTCGGGATGTGGCTATTAGTGCTCTAGTCCTCAGCCAAATCCATGCGGCCTTGATCAGGTATCGAGTCATCGTGAAGATGCTACTTGGTTCAATACATGAATCCGCCCGAACCGCACCTCTGACCGCGCTGGACCACATCGCCATTATACAGTTACAAGATACCATGCAAGAAGTGGGAGAAGCATTCGACAATCATGAGTTCTATAAGGGGTATTCTGCCTTGAATAGATGGGCAACAACCGACCTGTCGGCATTTTACATTGAGGCTCTAAAAGATCGACTCTATTGCGGGGACGGCGGAGGCGTCATTGAGCCTATACTAGTAGGCCTTCTGAGGATGCTGGCACCAATGACGCCATTGCTCGTCGAGGAGGCGTGGGATCACCGCCCCGAATGGGTGAAACAAGACCCGTGCGTTAAACTGAAAATTAACGAAGTCCCTCCGTGTTTCATAAACTGACAATCGCAATACAGGTCTTTCGTATATCCATTTCACCAAGTCTACACCGACCCTATAATTGAACCAAGTCGACTCACGCGCGATCTAACGTCACTAAGAAGAGACATCCCGGTACTTATGTCCGTCCACGCCGCTGTCAAACCGGGACTCGAAGCTGCCCGAGCCGACAAGGTCCTGGGCTCGTCCCTGCAGAGCTCAGTCAACATCGTCATCGAGGATTCCGCGACGTTGGAGGTACTAAATAAATACGCAGACGAGTTACAAGACATGTTCGTCGTCTCGTCAGTCCAGATCAACGCCCCGCCCCCCGCGGACGCGAAGTGGGCTTATACCCAGGAATTCGAAGTCGGCGGCGCTAAGGGGAAGGCTGTAGTGCTGCCCCCTACGCAGGCCAAGTGCCCCCGCTGCTGGCGCTACGTCGCGCCTAAGGAGGACGCGTTGTGCCAGCGGTGCGAGGAGGTCGTGGGTTGAATGTATATATCCCGCTCTACTTAGACGTGTACAATACAAAAGATATGGAAACCCACTGCCACGGTTTCATGATAAGGTGTATTGCGATTTGCTACATACCATATGTGGAATGAGGGAAACTCCGAAGTTGCCCTCTTCCCCTCTAGGTTTAGACTTATAAATACATTAGATCTTTACCCGTCTAGTAAGATTGATCGTTCATCTTTGCAATCAATTCTTGAGGGCGACGTGATGGTCTAGGAACTGCGTGCTCATGATCATGTCATATTTCATATTGATCACAAGTAATCCTGGCCTTTGATTCCTGAATCTTGGATCAAATGAAGTAGGTGCCTCGATTGTTCCCTCTGCGATCTGGGATCTCATCCTCATCAGAACTAGAAATCTATCGTGGGTCCGAAACCGTCTACCCTAAGTATTCATTCGCGAAGAACAGAGCAAAGTCGTTCCGTGGTTTTATCTGTCTTTGTTTCATGGGACATTTGAAAACCCCTGATTTGAGGGTACGTGATATTGTCCACTGCTTGTTAAAGGTGGATTTCGCTCGGGAGCCTGGTAATGTAATTAAGAGAAATAATAAGGAAAAAAGAACGAGAATTGAACGCTGAAGGAGTGTCATCAGTATGAGTACATGATGTACTTAGTTGATATTTATAGAAATCTTAACACTCCTATCGACTTATGTGTAGCTGTAGTTTGTGAGATACGATGCGAAGAGATCTCATTAGTAGCTAAATCCTTATATTCAACCGGCTCCTAGTCCAGAGCGGCTAGATGGATGGTAGAAGTGTGAATGTTGATGTGAGAGGTAGTGTGGTCTCAGAAATATCGCTCTTCTTCTTCTTCTTCTTTCCGCAGCAAAACTTGCTTGTGCTATGCAAACCTGACATACCGAAACTTTATGACACAACAAGCGTCTAGCAAAGATCGCTTCGGCAGGCGTAGTGGAATAAGACGGACATGTGGCCCATGACGGCGAAGTGCGCCGCCTGGTTAAGTATCATGGGCCAAAACCAAGGAATAAGGGTGAAGGTTCGGGACGATCTGGAGAGCAAAATGCTCCCAGGAGGAGTAATATTATAAGTGCAAGAGCAGGGCTTAGCAGGGGCTATAGATGCACCTATTTCCCTGTGACATTAAGAGAAAAAGGCATACGCTCGAACCACAGCAGACGCCCGCTTGTCTTCAACAAGTCCTTATTCTTGGCAACCCAAACGGAATGAGATCCATGAAGTGCTGGGAAATCTATTTGCCAGGAAGGAAGGAAATATATTCATCGTTACCCGTTCTGAAGACGGTGATAAACTCGTCGTACACCTGCTGCCACTGTGACTTGCTTGGCGATATGGGAAGGCATCTTGTATTTGAAGAAGCTCGTTGAACTACGAAAGTATGATAACTAATACAAATTCGCAAAGTGTAGTCACGGCGACGCTCGCTACAGCTTGTGGGCGGAAGTAATTTCTGGAGGGTAACCGGACTGTGATTTGTGGAAGCGTATTAAATTGATACTTCTATGGTTCTATATTGTCCAAGAAAGAGGCGGCCTCGTCTAGCTCTTATCATTTCGTTCCTTCTAAGTGTCAATGTAGCAGCAGTCGCGTGATGTTACCTAGGTAAGTACAAGTATCCGGTCCGCTGCTACTTGTAGCCTAAATACATCTTGGTCTAGGCGAAGACGGTCTATTTGTGCCCGATAGACACAGAACATATTCGTTCTGGCCTCAAAGAAAGGTCGGTTAGGGCTACTATGAGCCATAGTCCATTATTGACTTTGGGTAAGGCTAAGAAAGTGAAGTGTAGCTTTTAGAATTTTTTCTTATATATAAATATTTGAATGGGCTTGAAGTAGCTGGAATAGCCAGTTCGTCCCCCTATTCAAACGGAGGTCCCCGAAGGTATAGAATGCTTAGACCTACTAACTAATAACCCAGAGCTTAGACTTACAGATGCTTTTATAGGACTTCACATATATATGACTCAAGCCTTCAAACATCCATGATGTCTGCATCTTAGCCATTCAAACGGTGCCAAAAAGTACCTAGAAAAATCAGATAGTCATGTTTAGATACCATAGCAACAGCCTATGAGCACAAGTTAAAAGGAATTTAGGTTCCACCTGATAGTATCTAAGACTCTGCGAGAATGGTGAACGCGTGAATTAATTGAAATTTATTTGTGATAATACTGCTGTAAGGAAAACAGGCAACCCCTATAGTGGGTCTGTGCTACGTGAGAGCGAAACCTACCCCCTATCAGCAGCACAACGCATAATACTATCCCTATCCTCTCCACTCAGCTGTGATAATCCAACGCATCGCGCCGGCAGGTTGGTGGGCACCTAAGTAGTGGAATCGAGGATCCGCACGGCGGAATAGTTCGGGCCATTCGTGTATCTCGCGCTGCTGCGCATTCAAGAGCTGTAACATCCCGACATCCAGATTTCTGGCCAAATGTTAGCTACATAAGTAGACTCATCGGAAACAACGAAGAATATTTTATCTAGGAAGTGCGAAACTTACATCGCTCTCCGCGCATCTACCGTGTCCATACTATCAAAACTCGGGAGTACCCGCTCGTGAATGATTATCACGGCCCCCGGTTTCAGGGCCGGGACCAGGTTCTGGAGGATCTTGACGCAGTACTTATCCGCCCAATTGTGGAAGATAGAGCGGAAAAAGTACACGTCCACGCTGAGCGGCTGCGGCGTAAAGAAATCGTGCGCCATGAAAGTGATTCTCTTCTGCAGCTCAGCCGGCACCCGCGAAGCTCCTTCCACGACCGTGTCTGGCAGGTCCTGCACGAAGCACATCATGTTCGGAAACCGCTCGGCGATGCCAATGGCGACGCTGCCGTAGGAACCCCCGACGTCTACCATGGTTTGCTTGTCTCCCCAGGGGTAATTGTCGAAAATGCCGTCGTCGACGTTTCCGGGCTGGGCGAAGTATTGCCCGAACCTCTCCCCGCGGCTGGGGTTTTCTGCGAATATATCATACATGCTCTTCTTGCTGTTGTTCGCAAGAGAGAACCCCTGTAATGCAAGTCAGCACACTATCTACGAGCACCTGGGCTAGGTTTTGGATGCCTTACTGTTTCGTTACACTCTTCCGAGTTTGGCCATCTCTCTAGAGCATCCGCCATCTGTTTAATCCATCCCATCAGCACACCATCTCAGCTTCGGATTTCTCGGGGACGGGAGCAGTGGTTACCTTGACACCCGCCGGCCAAAACTCGTCCAGCTCAACAACAAGCAAGTTGCGCGCCATATCATCACGGGAAAGAATAGCAGTTAAAGCAGAATGCGTGATGACCCCAGGCGCATTTTCCTGGAAGAAACGATGGTTGATAATGGCGTGCCTGACGAGACGCCGAACATTCATCTCGCTAAGACCGGAGAACTTCGACATGGCTTCGAACGAAGTAGACTCCCCTACGGGGAAGGACCTATCCAGTTTGAACCGAAGAATAGCTTTCACGCTGGCGTAAGCAGTCCACTGTCAACGGTATATGGTTAATTAAAGCCCATCAAGGACAGACTTGTAAGAAACTGACTTTGAATCTTAGCAATTCTTTAGGACCGGTCATCAACGCCTTTAGTTCCGAGCAGGCCTCAATCACTGCGGTTCTTGCGGCTTCGATATCGGTAGCACTGTCTGGTATAGGTATGGACTGGAGGGCATCTGCGTCCAGCGAGGGGGTGGGTAGATTGTTCTTGACAAGAAAATCATTTATCAACGCCGTCTCCCTCGCAATAAGCGAGGACAGTTCAATAATTCTATTAGTAGAAGCCATGATCGTAGTACTTAGTCTAGTATTCTGTTAATATGGAGGATCAAGGCTCATTTTGATGGCTTTTAATATCGTACTGTGCCGCATAGGTGCTCCAACTTCATGCAGGAATTGAGCAGTCTAACTAGATATGATGTGGATGTGGAGTATGTTAAGTGGTATATCAGATATTATTCGGTGCAGTAGACTAAAATCCTCATGAAGTGTGTCTATTTCAACAGGGCAACATGAGATAAGGCAGATGGTAGAAATACCTTCGCGTACATATTAGAAGGCTGCTATCTAGCTTTTGGTCGTCATTGAACATTCATCTTCACTAATATCGCTGCCGGCTAAGGGGGTGGAGGTAGGTAGCAGCTGTCAGTCCTTGATTGGATGTCACGTTTCACAAGAGCGGTATCTGACCCTACTTGATTCCATTATCAAGAGTGCAGATCAAAGGTTTCATTGACAGTATCTGCAAGCAACTAATTTTGTATGGGAGCATTCCAGTCATGTAAGAAGGTACATTTTCATACATAAACTGAATGCAGCGCGGAGGGGGAGGAAAAGAAAAGAAAGCCATCCAAGTAATCATTCCGGGGTGGCCGAAGCCAGATCAAGCCAAATAGGTATGATCGCCCAGAATTCACAACCAGAATATCTGTAGATGTTGATGATGATGAAGGGTGAAGGTTTGTCGATAGACTCCATGTTGTGACGTCTATGTTGTACCTTATCTTCATTTTCCAAATCAGAACGATTCTCGTAAACAAACCGGATCCAGAACGTCGTAAGACGTGATTCATAGAACTTTTGGGATATGTTCCAGCGTAAGGCGCCATTTCTCGGGGTATCATTGTCTTTGCCCAAGCGCCATGCGAAGACAAGTAGATAAAACAAAGGGGAAAACAGGGTTACTTGTGAGTTGTTTGCAGAGAAGGAAAGAAGAGAGGCCGTGATCTGCTGCTATTTTGTGTTTCGTGGAGGGGATGTGGAAACAATCTTGCATACGAAGAAATCGAAGTTTGTTCCCGATAATAACAGGCGTAGAACTTGTCTCCTGGAATGGAGAGTCAATAGAGTTCTTCCTGGCGTTGTAAAAGTATGTGCAGTGCGGTCCGCAAGAACTTGAATGCCAAGGAAAGCTACTACGAAGGGCTTGTTAGCAAGGATAATTGATTCAAGAGGTTTAATGGTACTGCTCACCTACACAACAGCAACGCCAACCATAAGATGAGACGTTCATTGAGACATAGACGGGGAGGAGGGTAGCCCTACGACCGATATGCGGAATACTTAGGTGCTCTTATACACTGTATGTCCGAGTCGAGCACCGGTGAGAAGGCGCCAGATGCGGTGACGGTTCTGAAGACGAGGACATCGGAGGATTCCAGTTTTTAGATCGAAGGGATTAGGCCGAGCTAATTGTCGGCAGAGCAATTCCCAATCCACGTGGTCTACTTTCAAGTGGGCGCCCTCTGGCTCGTCTAACACTACTTGTATGTTACCGAGAGTGAGATCATGTAGCCACGGAATCAAATCTCCGTTGATGAGCTTGTTCATCCACCACTCTGGCTCATACACGCGCGTGCAATTCATTTCAAATAGGCCGAGGTTGTCAAAAGGCTCCATTGCTTCTTCAACCAGCCAGCGAACCTCCACAGGCGATGTGGCAAGGCGCGCTCGGAGCTCAATGAACTCTAGCAGACGCTCACTGTACATATCGCTCAAGTCAATGGTAACTGCTGCTCTCATGACGGCACGGGCCGTCGATAGCGGGTCGACAGAGGGGTCCGTTTCTTGGAGCTGGATGGTGCTGCTGAACTCCAAATTGTGTCGGGCGCCGGAATATTCCATTAGATCTTCACAAACAATTGCTCCAAGATACTTGTGAGGCTCCATAATGGGCCGTGTAAGGCGACCGCCGCGTGGCAATTCCGTCATCCATGCTCGCTTCATCCAGATCTCATACAGATGAGCGATGCTGGACGGCTCTCCTGAGTCCCGGATGTGAGTGACCTGTCGAAAATTGATATCGAACCTAGATTGGTAGCGGCAGAACTTGAGCGCTAGCTCAAGACAGGGCATGTGGATGGGGAGATACATTTCGTCGTGTTGAGTGTTGATCTCCATTCGGCCGTTCATTCGGCTGTAAAATCCCGCCGCTCCACCAACGTACTGTTCAACGTTGATGATGTCAAAGAGCTGGATGTCATTGCGGCGATAAGCTCGTGCTGTACACGGCTGTTTACACCATTCAATGAATCCAGGTTTTGCCTTAATCAGCACCGGGTGCGTCCAGTGAGGAGTGAGTCGAGGGCGGCTCACGTTGATTGAGGTGCGGGTCTTTGAAGCGGACGAGGTTAGTAGGATTCCTGGGGGATAGCGAGGGCTTAGATAACTTACGGTTGGTCTGCATATACCACCACATACAACACATACTACCACATCATCGCAAGTTGCACTGTCGTGGTAAGGGTTTGGTATCTGGTATGGTCGCGTCGGCAAGAAGTGTGGGCCGTTAGGACCCAGCTGCGGCATGGGAGGGTTCATCAGAGCGGGATTGGGGTTGACCGGAAGAGGAAGGGGAACGGCGGGAATTAGTGCTCCGGTGGGAAGGTTCACCATAGCGGTTGCAGGGTGTGCCATGGTTGTTACTAAGTTTGTTGATATCAATTCTTGAATGCCGTGATATCTAGCAGCCTGGAAAGTAGCCACCTTGGTCAAGATGGTAGTCGATAGAGGATCTGGGGTTGCAAACTTCTGTATGAGTGCAACAATTTGATCCGGGGATCCAGAATTAAGCTGGAATTGAAGGAATGACTCGTAAGAAGTAGACGTCTTGAAGAAAACGAAGACGTTATTATGACTTGGAAAGCAAAATTAGTGATTAAACCAGTTAAAAATTATGAAAGTTGACGGGGAGAGAGTCGGAAGAATTGTGAGAAGAATGACGAGACATGGAAAATAGAGTGACAACTATTTACCCGGGTGTTTTGACGCACGTAAATGAACTCGTGCCGGCGTGAAGAAAAAATATTGAGATGGAATATGTGGAGAGTGAAAATAATTGGTGTTGAGGGTAATGAGAAAGTTGGAGAGGACGGTGACGCGAAATCATCTAAGACAGATAAATTTGAATGTGGGTTCAAATATCTGTCAGGGAATTTTGTATTATGTAGAGGGAAGTGCGAGAGAGAGCATGTGGGAAAGGAAAAAATGGTATATATGAAAGTGAAGGAGACAACGAGGAGGTTCAGTGAAGAGAGGTACAGGAAGGGTAGAAAACATGAAAGTGTGATCAACTACTTACCAGTGAGACGTTACGATGCGCGGCAACGAGAGTAAACCCGGGAGGAAATTGGATGTAGAATTTAGAAGGAATGAAGAAAAATAAATCGGCAGGTGCCAAAAGTAGTGAGGAATATAATGAAGGTGGAGAGGGCGTTTGATGAAGGAAGGCGACGGGAAGAGTGGAAATATGAAAAGTGTGATTAGGCACCTACGTAGAAATTTGTGTTCCACGGAAACGAGAGTGGCCTTGGAGAGAGAAAGAGAAAAAGAAAAAGGGCAGAGGGAAAAAAGAAGAGAATGTGTGGAAGGTAGAAAATATAGTTATTCGCGGATCCTAAGCGTTGTTATAAAACCGAAAACGTAAAGATGAAGACGTTTTGCTTGGGCTTGGGTGTCCACCAGCTGTAGGCACGTCTGGCAGGTGAAAAAATTTGCCTTCAGGGCCTGCACTACCACTACTTACCAGAGACACCCAGGTGATGAGATAGGTAGATACAAGTCTACCATGCCCAGAGACGTTGGAATACTGAAGGCCTCTTCAACCTTGGAAGGGTTCGACTTTCAATGTTGCTGTGTTGTGGTCTAGTAGCTAACTCTGGGTATTCTTGGGCACAATCAAAAGAGTACCCTGACAGTGCCTTCTACAGGGGCTCAGTCGAAGATCTGGAGGAAACTCAAGGAAATCAACCCAGTGCAACAACCATTGAAGGGACGAACAGCAAACATTCAAGCTTAAAAGTACATGTAGTCATCAATTGTCCATGTCATATTGTGACACGGACCCAAATGTACGTGCCAAAACCATCATGTGACCGACTATGGGATGAAAGAATTTAAACTTCAAGGAAGGCACGTAGGCATGGCGCTCATAGCTACTAGGTACCTATGTATCTAGGCAGTCTAGCTACGTTGCTATTGCTGTGAGATCCTACGTTAGTTTCATGTAGTTGCCTCGTTTACAATGATATAGATTGTATCAGGGCAAGCACCACCTAAATAGACAATCTAGGAGGTAAGATAGGGGTGAGATAGGAGTAATAAAAAGGGGCGCAAAGGACCGCATATTTGAAGGCAGTTTACTATACGTACTCGCTACTTATTCTTTACCCACAAAGCAAACATGCTTAGAATCACCCAGAATCGTAGGTATAGGAATAATTAAAACTGTAATATCATCATCTTTGCCCGAGACAAAGGCTACTAACAACAGGGGTATCTAGCATGCAGGCTAGGACGACAAACCAAGACAAGGCAACGTGCCCCGAATAGAGCGGGCCAAGTCATAGGTCTGATCGCCGCATACCTTATCCGACAAGAACCGAACCACCTAGGCACCTATTCCGTAGCCAACTCCAGAAAACACCAACCATGCAAATGCCTATCATCTGGGAAGTGTCAAAACAAGACTGGTCAGACTATTCAATTTAGTCGGGGGCTCTTTCTCCTGGTAGTACTCTGCGAGAAGACCTCCCTACCACCTCCAGGTATCACCGTTGAGAGGGGCGGTGGCATATTCTCTCGGCCCTCGCCGGTCACCGTTCTTCGACCGACTTTGGATGATCGAGTCGTCCTACTTCTCTTAAAAATAGGTAGCGTAAAATCTCCATCAGCAGTGGCTGCCGGGGCCGGGTCCATCAGTCCCGGACCGACGTTGGCGCTGAATTCGTGGATTGTAGCGTTAGCACGGGGATCGAAGTTCAGTGTGGCTGTTGCGTTAAGGTTGGGGTGGACCTCACGCAAACTCATGGAAAGTGGGATCTGATCGCGATCCGAAAGGGGGAGGGCATGGTCTGATGTAAAGCGTCGCAGCGGTGATCGATTCTCCGACAAAGATGTATCCGCATCAGAAAAGACCTTAGCCTTGCTGGGTACTACCTCGCCATTCAACTTTCTGATTAGTTCTTCGTGCGGTTCCGTTTGCGGGAGTTCCGTGGGATATTCGTATGCCTTCTTCTGTGGCGTGTTTCCGGTCGACTGGTATTCTTGCAAGTTGGTATCGTTGATGTCCTCTCTAAGCGTGGACAGAGGTCGACAGATAGTCTCTGGTAGAGACTCCAAGGAGCCCTCGACATCGGCAACATCAGTATCCATATCTGAACCGAGGTTCTGGACTCTTGAGCATGTATTCTTGAAGTGATCCCCAATATTCGCATACGAGCCTTCGACCGTCTTGGATAAACTTGTTACTGAACTAGAATGACTGGAATGGTGAACCGCGTTGTGAGAACGAGCGCGTGTGACAAAGTCGTCCAAGGACGTCATCTGCTCATCTAGATCCTTCATTTGTTCATCAACAACTCGCACAGTTTCGGCATGTACAGATTTGGTCGTGTCTTGGATGGAGGTACTATGCTTGTTCGCAGTCTGTCACCTAATTAGTACCAACACAGATAAGAGTCGGGCTGGATATCTTACTGTCCAATCATCCTTTAGTCTTGTCTTCAAGATGTCTCGAGAGCTAGTAACCTCTTCAAGAAGTCGAGATTCCTTCTTGTTCCAATTATCCATCCCCTCAGAATAGCGCGCCATGCTACCTTCTAGAGCAGTACTGTTTTCCTGTACGCTTTGTTGAATGGAACTTGCCTTGTCAGCCAAGCGTGACTCCTGGACAAGGGCTTGGGTATTGATCAGACTAGTGATTTGTGTCAACAGCTTTTGACGTTCCTCAGCTGCTTGTCGCCGTTCTTCATTAACAACTTCTTGCAGTTGTGCTGAGATTGAGCTGTTTGACTGGACGGCAGCCTCGCTTGCGTGCTGAAGTTGCTCCCTAAGAGCGTCGGACTCCTTCTTCTGGGAAGTGATGTGCTTCATCAAGTCTTCAAAGATTGACTTGAAATCTTTGCCAAGAGAAGAATAGGAGTGATGTAGCTGATTATGGAATACGCCTAGCTCGCTGAGGACGTCCTCCGCTATTCTTTCCGCAGCGGTTGCAATGGCTTCAAGGCTCTCACCCACCCTTTCTTTGATATGATCCCGGACTTCCTTGATCTCCTCCAGTACATTGTCCATCTCATCCTTCGACTGGTTCTGCTGTTCCATAAGTTCTCTCTTAGATTGTGCAAAGAGCTCGAGATTCTCATCGAGAAATGATTGGGTGGAAGTGAGCTTTTCTAGCTCTCCTTGTACAAATGAATGCATTCTGTTCGAGATGCTTGACATGTGTTGCTGTTGCTCACTACGGAACGCCTCCATACGACTTTCTACAAGCGAAGTGACGTCTGACACTTGGCCTTGAGCGGATCTCCAGTTCGTCCGATTCAAGGATTGAAGATCTGATTTCCTCTTGTTCTTGGCGTGGAGACCTCCAACATCCTTGATCGTCTTGCTAATGGTGCTGATAAGTTCACCGCCGACTATCTGCATCTGTTCTTCGGTGCGTTGGTGTGCCTTTCGAAGGTAAGTCTCCTCGGCAAGGCTCTTGCGTGTTGCCTTAAGCAAAAGGTCCGTTTGATCGAGGATATCTTTCGTCTCATCGAGTTGAATCTTCATAGCATCATGTTCCTTCTTTAAACCCATAAAATTTGAGGTCACGGAAAGGAGTTCTTGCCCTTTGTTTCGTAGATTGGACTCGAGGGTCTCTATCTTGGCCGCCTGTTCGTCATTCTGTATTCTGCGGGATTCGCTCTGAGCAGTCATCTCTTCGTAGCCCTCGTTCGTCATATAGACACCATTTCGTTGACGCGTCACGATTAACTCACTCCTAAGGCGTTCGATCTCGTGTGTCAATTCCTTCAGTAGCGTTTCCTTGTTGATTCTCTGATTGACTTGGGGTTTGTTGCGAATGTTCTTGGCTCTGAAGGCATAATCAAGCGTCGAGATGGTCTCTTCGAGATTGCTCTTGGCCGGTGAGATAGTGGCGATGATACAGGTCTTAGTGCGACCACCAAGAGAGTCTTGCAGCAGCCGGGTTAACTTCGATTCTCGATAGGGGATATGCGAGCTTCGGTCGACTAGCGCGTTGATGACTCGGCCTAGAGTAAGCAAGCTCTTGTTGATTAGTCCAGCTTCGGCGGCTCTTTTGTTCTCGGCCCCAGAACGTTGGATGTTTTCGCTTCCAGCGAGGTCCACCAGATTTAATTTGCCTGCGCTCACATATTCCTCCCCGTCCTCCCCGGTCTGCTTCACGCAAGCCGTGATGGTAAACACAGTGTGACTTCTACTACTCAGATCATTACATTTGGTGGCGGCTACCTGTCGCTTCAGACTGCCATCCTGCAGGAGCTTGATGCCTTCTGACGCATTCCTGATGTGGGATTCCTGCATTCCCTGGACGACCGTCGCCGCGTGACCCTTGCGTGATGTGTCGTCGAAAATCTTCAACTTGGCACTTTCCTCGGCTGAGATTAAGTCGCGAAGCTCTTCGTTGTACAATTCGATGAAAGAACATTTAACGAAGCTATCGGTGTCCTCCACATCTAGCTTGTTGAAGAGCGAGTGAAGCACTCGTGGGATAATTCCGGCATCGTCGGAGAGAATACCTAAGGTTTCTGTCATGTTTCCTGACATCGTGTATGTTTTGCCGGTACCAGTTTGGCCATAGGCAAATATGGTGCAATTGTATCCACCGAGCATCTAAAGCGTAATTAGTCATGTGTTCGACGTGATATGGGCGGTGTTTGACAAACCTCTTCTACTATGGGCTTCACGACATCGTCGTATATCATGCTCTGGTCGGCGGCCTGGGAAAAGACGCGATCAAAATTGTAGGTCTTGTTGCTCAGAGCAGAGGGACCCATGGATAGTTCGACTAGCTTTCCCTTCACTCCTTCGGTAGCAACAACTACAGCACTGTTCTCGCTGACTTCTCGATCGTTGCGACCTCGGCATCGGACGACGACGTCGATGTTAGTCTCTACAGTGGTATCTACTTCAAAATCGCGCTCCTTGCGCTTGGTTCCAGACGTAGCAACGGATGACAACGATTCGGCTGGTGAAGGTGCCGCGTTCCTTGCAATCCTCGAAGCAATGGCGGCATGGTGGTTAGAAGGATTCCGAAGCGATGACGATCTGTTTGTAGGTTGTCGAATGCCACTACGACCAGCAGCGCCCGAACGTGCGATGTTTGCCGTGGAGGGCCTTTCGCTCTTGTGGGAGCGGCCCTGCATGGCGACGGTAATTCGATTGGGAGGAATGTTGTAAGCTTTTATTCAACCTAACAAATGATGGGTAGGTAATTGTTTTCGAAATAGAACAAGGCGACACGGGGACGAACAGGGAATAGCAAGACGGAATTGCAACCTGAGAGGACGTTGGAATTAATTCTTTTTTTTAAGAAACCTCAAGGTACGGGACGTATCGAGTCGATGCAATAAGTTTGTGGAGAGATAGAACTGCGGGATAATGTAAAGACGGGGATGAAGGTTGATAAGATTTACGAAGAGCAAGCATAAGACGCGACGGGAAGTTGTAACCTTACCGCTCTTGTGATTTCTTTCTTAATTTCGGTACAAGACCCACTAAAGAATCAACAGAAAGTGCTTTCGTTGCCGTGACAACCGGTTTAGCTCCGATAAGAGATGAACGAAGGGCTTATCAAGCTCCTGGGAAATAGGCGGGGTACAAAGCTTTGATGCCGAATTAGGTAAGATTGGTTAAACATGTACAGGTGTGTACTTCCAAAGTTAGTCAAGCTCAAATGTGCCAGCATGCATGCACAACGTGCCTGACGACCCCACATATATGTCTTATCTGCTTATCTAATGTATCAAATGACGTCCCATCCCAGCGCATCTGACAGCCTCCAGCCTTTCTTTGCGCTTTCGGCCTAGACTAAGTGGCTTGACGGCTTGACATAAGGCAAACTTACCTAAATACATCACCTGCTCTTGTTACGTCCTGACTGTATGTGCACGCATCTTGGCAACTATATCTTGCTCTTCATGGATTCAACCGAAGCTGGTTGACTTTGTTTGACTGGTGCGAGCTTAGCAACTCGTATTGCATCAACTACATCTTTGTCGAGACGAACATCTCATTATACCATTCAATATGTCTCTATTTACGGCAGCTCTCCATCCTAATGTCGGGCTAGGGTTCCTTGGTAAGTATAAAGCTAGAAGTATAAATCATGCCCGGCAAATGAGGAATCTGTCGCGCGTGTTACCCTTGCCTTGCTGACGATCTGGTCATCTATAGTGCTTGGTGCTTCGCTTCACGATATCCTGACACGTCTTAAGGCCGAACCTCAACGTTTCCCCAAGCTGGACCTAACCTACTCTGCAACCCAGCCTGTTACGGATCCCGTCGTCCTAGCCCTCCCCGCAAACGGTATACAATTACGCTTTGATGGCCCTGAGCAGCGACTCCGTCTCATTGAAGTCATCGACTTCACCAAGAATCGCATCACCTACCAAGAAAAAGATATTGCCAAACCCCCACAAGGAACGTTGGGGTCTCCTAGGTTAGGTGGAGATGCTACGACAGGCCCAGCATTTAAGAATATCTATCACCGCCTGTTTGGTCCGACATATGCTGGAGAATATATTCCTCCAACTGACACAGGGAATAGCAATGCTGTGGGAACGTATATCTTGTCATATCCTGGCGTAGCATTCAGCTTCCCATTGCCGAAGTCAGCTTATTCTCCAAATAAAGACGTGGTGTCCTTGCTGTCTTCATCTGCAAGTCAAACAGCCAGCTCTGTTGCGGTATTCAGCGGGAAATCTTGGGCTCATGCTCGAGAGACACTTTGGGATGAGATTCTCCCCAGTGTTAAATCGACATTTCTGTTCAGTAAGAGTAAGGAGGTCGTCCCTGATGAAATATCCCTAGTCAAGATACACGGTGGTGGCAGGCTTCAGCTATTCAAGAAATGGACAAACTCGTCAGTCTGGATTAACCTGGGAGAGACCACGCCGCAAGATCTAGTGGCAGAACTTGGCCCGCCCGACGCCATATATCGAAAGAACGACCAGAGGATGTATATTCACAAGACGCGCACTGCAAGCCATAGCAGGTCGAGGTCTAACGGCGGCGACTACAGGCGCCCCGACGATCTAACCGACACTGACCAATCTTCAGCCCACACTGGATCCGACGACTCCGAAGATGAGGCTATCGAGGACGAATTTATTGGCAACGTATCGGGAGAATGCTTTTACAATTACTTTTACTTGGGATTTGATATTTTGGTTTCGCCACCTCAACCTGCTTCGCGGACACCACCGTCTCAGATTTCCGGCATGAATGGAAAAGAAGTCCCCGGAGCGAACCCATTCAAAAATGGTACCGCGGATCGATTGGTGGCCACCAAGATGGTTCTTCATGCGAATGTCCCGGGTTCGTACCCGTTCAATCGACACAGGCGCTGCCGTTGGGAGATCCAATATCTCGCAACTGATGATTCGTCCAATATCTTAAACTCGGAAACCTTGTTTGACGAGATCGAGGAGCGGCTGAGGGAGGAGTGGAAAAGCACGTATTCATCAGAGGAAGATGCTAAGAGACGCCAACGGGGGATGGTGCTGAACAGAGGATGGGGAGATAGCCCCGGTAGCAGCTGCGAATTTCTTGGAGGCTGGGAGGATAGTAGTGGAGGAGTCGCCGCGAAGAAGTTTGACGGAAGCGAAGATTCCACGACTACACTATACGGATTCCCGGGGATGGTTTTCGAGGTTTTGAAGAATGGGTTTGTTAGCGCGGTTACGGTTTACTAAGTTCTCGGTTTTGGGTATAGGAGTTATTGCTCATTCACACATCTTATTCAGGGAACATTTAGAATATCCGTAGAAACTGGAATGGCTAGCCTTATTACAATGCCAGACATGAGGCAGCTCAAGCGTGTCTGCTGACTCGACGCGACAGTGCGATTATCCACCTTCCCTTTCCGGTTCTATGTGCCGCTCTGCCTCCTTTTTTTATTTGCCTTATTATCGTCACTTCAGGGAGACAACATGCTAGCAGTTTTGAACAGTTGATAGAATAAATGTGCTATAAATGTGCTAAATTAAAAGGGGTTAAATATTCAACTAGCAGTTATTACCTTAGCGGGATACTTAACATTGCATTAAATATATTCATAATATGTGATGATTAATCAAGTCTGAGCATACTAGGTATGACATCATCAAGATCTCTCGAATAAATAAAGGTACATGCAACTCAATTGTTCAATATCTCAATTTTGCAACAACGACGTAAACAATTAAGACCGCAGATCATGGACCCAAATAACCCTTTATCCGAGCGCGAGAAAGCGCTGGAAAACCAGTATATCAGAGAAAAAGAGTATGCGATATTCTCATGTTTCTTCTCCTCTTTACCGTTTGACACAGGCTCGATGTAGTCAGCCGTGTACGGGCGCTGACAGCTTGACAGGAAGCAGCTCGCCAAAGCGAAGGCCGCCAAGAAGATTGAGCAAGAACAGCAGTCCGACCAAGGAATGCATCAGTCCAAGTAAAGACATGTTGGAAGGTTGGAGGTCTATTGAAAGTAATTAAGAAGAAGCTGAAAAGTCTAGCAACATGGGAAATATTGTTTTATTGCTTTTGCGACAGACTTTTACAGAGGCAATATAGCACCACTATTGGTCCTTATATCTATCACATATCACGTCGCATCCGTGCTGACTGCACAAGCCATCTTTACCTGTGAAACAACCATAAAGTACCTAAGGTTAGGTCGAAATCAGGTCAACGCAAACAAGAAGCACCCGACTACATAAAGGCATAGCACACATTACATTTAGGCGGTTGTAGTATCGCGTTTAAGACAAATCTTGATCCAACCGGAAACACGAGAATGGGGCTCTATGAAATTGACCCTGATGGCGACGTCCTACTTACCCTTCACAACCCGAATGCCCCATTTGCCGTCTGGGTTCCTGAAACCGAACCTGAACCCGAACCTGAACCCGAACCTCAACCTGAACACATAAGTCTGTCTAAAGAGAGTTTATACGACAAGCTCAGAGCTGACGATACTGATCCTACATGTTCATCACCCCCGGTTCAATTCTTGGTCTCTTCACGGCATTTAGTTTTGGCATCGAAATATTTCCGGAGCATCCTCCAAGGTCCCTGGGAAGAGGGCACTGTGATCCATTCAGATGGCCGACGCCACATCTCCGCTCAGGATTGGGATGAGATAGCCTTGAGCATCTTAATGCACGTTATACACGGTCGTAACCGAATCGTGCGCAGATCGATCACATTGGAAATGTTTGCCAAAATTGCCGTTCTCGTAGACTATTACAGCTGTCATGAAGCCGTCGAACCTTGGTTGGACATTTGGGAAGCTTCGCTTACGTCCCACACTTCCGAGATATGCGACAGAAGTCTCGTTCTACAGATCCTCATCTCTTCAATTTTTGAGAAAAAGGAGCGGTTCAGAGATGCAACGAAAATAGCCGTGGAGCATTGCAAAAAGGAATTTCCGACGCTGGAGTTACCAATAGTGGCAGTGGCCGGTATGTATTCTACATTATATGCTTGTAATTATCAAACTGACAAGAGCCGCAGAAAAGATTAATCAACGGAGGCAGGAGCACATTCGCCAGATATTCGATTGTATCTACAGTCTTTGTACGCTCTCAAGTGAGGATTCCATTGGATGTAATTTTGCGTGCTCGTCAATGTTACTTGGTTCACTCATCATACAAATGCGCAAACAAGGTCTTGATTCAAAACCAGAACCTCCGTATATTGGGTACAGCGTTGCATCAACTAGGAAAATGATTCATGAATTTGAGACCCCACGTTGGAATCAGTCCGAATCCTACAACAGATACGGCAACGGGTCCTTCCATCGTTGTACCCTTTCCGATCTATTGAGGAAGAACTTGCCAAGTGGGGAGGTGGAAGGTCTTGAGTTGAAAGATATCTGCACCCCGGTTCAGGTCAAGAAGGAGAAGAATAAGAAGAAGAAGAAGAAAACACATCTTGAGGATCCATGGCGACTTAATTTCTCATCGATCCAGTGATGAGGATAAAACAAAACATGTTTTGGAGAGCAGGAGGAAAAGAGATCACTTTGCCGTCGTTTTGTTTATTTGTCTGTTGTATCAACCAAAAGCTGCCCTCGCCAACCGTTATATCACGTCGAGACCTGGTTGATTACTGTTGTCCTTGTGATGCCTGGTGCCTCTGGCTCGGTTATTGTGCGCGTCCTTGACGCGGACGCGCTCATGTTAAGTGCCGTGTCGCTGAGCTCATAGTACCATTGCTGCGTGTGATCAAGCTTCCGTTTGCTGCCTATGCTGCTTATATTACCGGCGCTAGTTGCACTTCTTTGGGGCTTAGGCGACCTCCCCCACGTTATAATCGACATTGGCTTGAGGGAGTACGAATGCTCTCCACTGCTAGAGTTGCCGCCCCGATGCCCCCTAGAGATGAGCGAAGTCAAGGAGCGGAAAACGGCAGAGTCAACAATGTAGACTCTAGTGAAGGCGACAAATGCTGGCGTCGAGCTGACAGCAATGGCGACGTTGTTTTCAACGATGCTAAAAATATAAGGAGTCAGCGTCTTGAGTTGGATTGCAACAGGTAGGTGCAATCATAGGAGGACGTGGTGAAAGCAAATGGAAATAAAGTTGAACTTGCCACCATATGAATGTGATTGTGCTTGACCATGTGGAATCGTTTTCAGCATGTAGCAATATGACGAGGTATCTCAGCGTAACAAGGCTAGAAATCACGCCCCTGCGCGGCATCGTCTATCAGTGCCTTGTTCTTTGATAATTAAAAATTCATGGTAGTCTGGAATCTAGAGAATGCTCCACTCACAATAAGCCTGTGGCAAAAACAGCCGCTATTCGCAGCCGCTTTTTGAGGGTCATCTGGAGTCCCCAGAGGATGGGAAGTGGCAGGACAAAGATGTATAGGTCCAGTACGACTGTGCAGGGGCCCTGAACGACGCCCGTGGGAGCGAGATGCTGGCCCATGCCATTGGTGAGTAAATCTTCCCAGGCCTCGTTGCCGTGTGGAACACCAAAATATAGGAAGACGGCCACCATGGAGCCATAGAGTAAGAAGTCAAAGACGAGGCCAATAGCGACGGCCACTCGGAGCCATCGGATATTGCTAAAAAGTTGCAGGTACAGTATCAGGATTGAGCCCTTGGTAAAGAAACGTGCCACTTGGTTCATAGTCTCCTCGACGTAGATTTGCTGTTTAGCTCATATTAGTTAGTGTTATTGATATCAAAAAGGCTCGATGAAAAGTCAATATTGCTAATTAGTGAGGTGCGCCTGACCTTGAGATAATCGGCGTTAAACAAGCACAATGGCACATCCCATAAATGACGAGCAAATCTCAGCACTATTCCCAAAGACGCCTATGTTAGTAGAGCAACACCCAATATCGGGAGTAGAAAAAGGGGCCTCTCACTGAGCAAGTTATTGATTGTATATGCAAGGGAAGACAAGTAACCCAGGACAACAAAGGCTATCAATTCAGCGTAAGTACGTATGTCTCTTTGCGCAAAATCTGGTTCAGTTTACCTACCATCTGACCATCCAAAACTGTGGAAGTTATGCCTTAGCCTTCCAACGAGGAAGACTGTAGCTACTCCGGTCATAATTGCACTGGCTGCGATCAAGTCAGGCTCCAGCGTGACTGGATCCTCCAAATTGTATAAGCCATTAGGAGATACCGCAGACGGAATCTTGCAAAGGTCTTGTTGCTCTGAAGACATATTCTGCAGGCATATGCGCTGGTAGCCGACAATACTAGACGATGGCGCTTTGTGGGAGATAATGTTCGATCAGATAAATCGAAGTAGACAAACCCTTGATTGAGGTACGGTCAAGAGAACCGCTCCACATGAGCATTTAGTCTAGAATCTGAAAGAGGAGATAAAGCGGAGGAAAGTCACATTTCTTGTGAGAAGATTATGTTGGTGCAGCCTGATGCTCGGTGTGTCAGTGTTGGTGTCGCCCATATGCATGTGCGTATCTCGAAACTTCGACGAGGCTGTCAGTTTTACGGCAAAGTATGCGCTGTCATTGGACTACCTAACACTCATTTAATATACCTAATGCAGAAATATAAGGTATATGCTCCCAACACTTCCGTCTCATTTTTCTGTGCCGTACTACTACCACACCTGCAAATTGCCTGCGCTGCGTGGAGAAAGAAGCCTAGGCAAGTTGTCGCCACCTTTTGAAAGCAACGATGGTATCACTGCGAGGCACAACTGACGATCTCCATGTTCTGGATCGAGCCGCTTCAGGAGCCTCCATCCTGCACGTCCAATCTTCTAACACATGGACCATTACGAGCTTGGCTACCATAGAAGCATAGAACCGGCCAGGACTTCCGAAACGGGTCAATCAGTGTCAAGGAACTCGGATGGTGTATCTATGGGCGGAAGATGACGACAGAACGGCTAGGTACTTACCATGCAGTGTTACCGAATCCCCATATCGGCCAATCAATGCTGGCTGTGGTAAGGCTGGATGGCGTATCACCCGGGACATCGCGACACGATATTTCTCCTCTCTCAAGCTGCTGATTCGCCCGTAGGAATCGGAAGGCGTCAAAGACATCAGGGCTGCGATAACGGGTAGCATCGTGCATCAAAGCCCGCTGCGGTACGCACACCCAGTCACCAACAGCTAGTGTCGATGTTCCGTCGCTAAATATATAAGGCATGAGAGCCTTGCGACGGCCGGTTACTGTCTCAGGTTACATCGACCGAACTGTTGGGACAACAACAAAGGGCCTAGAGTCTTACCTGCATCAGAATTGTTGCAGCGTATCGATTCCCTGAGAAAGCTGTCCAACAGCGGTAGCTGCTTCTCCACGTCCAAAGCCTTGCCTCCAAGTTCTTTACATGTAGCGCGAGCCTTAGTAATCTCGGCACGCAACGGTTCGATGCAGTCGTCGTGAATACACAAATCCTCGATGGCGTAGGTTGTAGTCTGTGAGGCCCTCAGTTCTGGTACCACTTACACTAGTGCTATGCAGGCTTACCATGGCAAGTTGATGTACAGAGCCGAACCATACGGCCATGATCTCCCCCACCATCCGCGCAGGCGACCACTGCATCTTGCGCGGCGATGTATCTATCAACCATTGCACGCAATCAATCTGTTGTTACACGCCAAAGGTTCAATGGTTAGCACGACACTCCGGAAACAGCACAATGCAGGCACCCGCCATTTCTAGCTCACCGGGACTGGTAGGTCTTTCTCACAGCCTGCCTGGTGACGCGCATTGCGCGCTTGCAGCCGTTTCGTGACAACAGGTTCCAAGTGGTGGAAAATCGTCCGCGCAGCTCTGTGCCGTTTGGTTGCTGCGGCCGCGACGAACCTATACGCGTTCGTATTCGTTAAATCCTCTCTTATCGATCCCATTTTTAGGTTGGAGCAGTTGAGAGCTAACTATCATGAGGGACTTACGGACGCATGAATTTTGGGGTGATGCGCAGAAGTTCGGCGGCGAATATGACAGCCTGGGGGAACTCTAGCGCAGCCTTCGTGAACCTCTCATTCTTGCCTGAGTCGTTGAACAATGCATGGTCAGCAACTATTAACATTCCATGACGAAAGAGAGTTTTCATCATCGGAACCATACAAAGCTCCTCGCCAAAGAACACGAAGCAGTTGACGTTTGTGACCGTCCTCTTGATCATAGGAAAAAGCTGAACGCGGGCGAAGCCTGGCCATGGCGGGGATCGCAATTAGCATTAGTTCCATTGAGTAGAACTGGCCGACTGGGTAGCCGGGAAGTGATAGAACAAGTACATTCCGCTTGGATCGGCAGCACATACCATCGTCATCTGGTTTGCCGAGCTCCATACTGAAATTGGATCTCAAAATACGCTCAAATTCGGGTTGGAACGCGGGCAAGTGCGCTGTCAGCAGGCTGCGTAGGGCGCGAACGAATCCTGTGCCCTCAACTCCCCGCTGATTTTGCCATTCGAAGCCGTACATGGTATATCTTGGCTGCAGAATCTATATTTGAACGATTAGATGGTGGGCTGCAAGCTACCAAACCATGTGCCTCTTACGAGGGCCTATCATAATCCCGGGAGAAAAGACACTAGGGGACTCACTTCTTTTGCCACTGCATGGAGCGAGAGACTCTCCAAGGGCGCAGCAATCATCTCCCTGATCATCTCGGGAGATGCGATCAGCAGGTGGTCGTTTGAAGGCGTAGTGATTTTGAAGGGTTTTCCATTGGCCTATTTTCCAAGCCCCTGCGTTAGCCGAAAGGGTATTGATTCCATCATCTAGGGACAACTCTACCTTCCTGTACGCATTGTCGATGATCTGAGGGCCGCGGATAAGATAAAGAATCCCAAATAGAGGCCTGAATAGATCGAATAGGATGTGATTGAATTGCTGATGCTGTATTCTTTTTGGTTAGCCCCAAGTCGAAGAAATCCAACGCTCCGAACAGGAAACCAACGGATGTAAGAAGTGATCCAACCTTATGCTTGAGAGCATGACGAACGGTCAGAATTACAACAGCCCCCAAGAAGATGCCAAACCAGAGCCTGGATTCTGAGAAGATGATCATGATTTTGACGATGCCAAGATCTGAGTATTCGAGGGAAGCTACTATGTATGGTGATGCGGCCTTTCGCATACATAGCAGCTGCACTCGTTTTATACACATGCACACTCCTCATAAAGCATGGGTTACTGGAAGCCTTGCCATGACGTTTGAGGGATGGCCCCGCCGTATTCCCAGTCGACGCCTTTCGTGCTCCGACTTTTGAGTACTCAATCGTATTGGGGTTCCCCCAGAGTTACATTCTGACCAGTTCTAACATGCCCCAGGATGCCTCGATGTCGGGAGGAAGTAGCCCGGTCAATATTCACCCCCCCCCCCCCCTTTATACCTATGGTGCAAGTAAATATATTGTACGTAGTGGGTCCTTAATTCTCACAGTGTGATCGAGTCAACCTGAGGGCTGTATTATATCGAAGCAGATCACACTATTAGAACGGCCTTTCCAAGTTCTTGTCGTTTGCGGACACTCAAGGCTCAACTAACCAAATTCGTGATCGACTCCATCCCCCAGCGTTAATGTTGCTAGATTCACTAGCCTCCCTAGACACCTCTCGGGCTGCGGCCCTTGGCGTGGCAGCCAGCACTCATAGATCTCTTTTAGGCCTCGTGCTACTCCCATTGATGATACTCCTGCTTTGGCGGGCTTGGAGGTTCACGATCAGTCCACTCTTGTACCCCGATGACCCCAAGGAGCTGCCTTATTGGATTCCATTTCTAGGTAAGCAGAATGAATCGACTTCTTGCTTTACTAGTCATGTTTTTCACATAATAACAGAACACAGGGCACCTACGACCATTCTTTCAGGATTCCAATGCATTGCTCTCCCAAGCTAAGTATGTTGCCCCGGACCACGACAGCATAGGCCTTGTAGACTCATTCAAGTTGGTAGACTATATTTCGGCAACACTAAGGAACCATTCGCGCTCACAATTGCCGGGTCCACTACTTATGTTATAGTCAAGGCCCAGGATGTTGCCGAAGCATATAAGAACAACTCGACACTCTCCTGGACCGAGTTTCTTTTGGAAATGATGCGCACCCTTGGAAACGATGAACTCTGCGTCGAGACCGTTGCTAACCCGCTTCCTCGAGACAAAGACGGCTTCCCTAACCCCCATGGGAAGCCTCTAGTCACGCTAGCTCGGGATATGCACATTCACCAGCTTCATCCGGGCGACCAGCTTGATGATCTCGAAAGGCGGTTCCTCCGCTGGTTCGAGCGCCATTTGGAACCCGATACGATGATTGAGACATACGGCAACAGCATGGCACAGAAAGACAAAGACGTCGCTGTCACAATGCCTCTTGTGCAGTGGTGCTCTGAATTTTTCACGCTTGCTTCCCAGGAAGCCTACTTCGGACCTGAGCTGGCGCATATCGACCCGCACCTGCATGAGACCTTCATCGTCTTTGACGAGCTCAGCTACCAGATTCTATACCAGTATCCGCGTCTCCTGGCCAGCAAGATGCGCGCCGCCAAGGCACAGCTCCAGCACGCGATGAAAGCCTATCTTCGACTGCCGCGCAACAAGAGAACTGGTAATGCCTGGTTCACCGATGTCTTCGAGACCGAGTGCCGGGCGCTAGGAATCGATGAAAACCAAATCGCGATAATGTTCTTCACGGTTTGTATGTTATTCCGCACAAAACCAAGCACCCTTTCTCTATCATGTTGTACTGAAAACATATTTTCGCGCAGACTGGGGTGCTAATACCAACACCCGCAAGGCGGCGTACTGGCTCCTTGCGCACCTCCTCGAAAAGCCAGAGCTGCTTGCCGCCCTGCGAGCCGAAACCAACGCAGCATTCGATGAAGTCGGTCACCTCGACCCGGCGCGCCTCCACGACGCCCAACATAACCGGTGTTTCGACGCGGTCTGGAACGAGACGATCCGCATGTCGGCGTACGCGTCCTCAGTACGCTACATCACGCGCGACACCATCATCGGGGGTAAGGTACTGCGTCGGGGCCGCCGCCTCATGATCCCGTACCGGCAGTTGCACTTTGACGAAGACGTGTTTGGGACCGGTATCGACGAGTTCCGGCCTGCGCGGTTCGGCTTCGACGCCGCTGATACAAGTCGGAAGGAAAACAAGGAAAATGGGGTACATCGGAACCTCACGCGCGTGGATAGCTGGCGTCCCTTCGGCGGCGGCGTGACTATGTGCCCCGGTCGGTATATCGCGAAGCGCTCTGTGCATATGTTTGTGGCGCTCTTGCTACACAGGTACGATGTAGAGAGCGTCGGGCAGAGGACGGTGCCTGAGGCGGAAATGGGGAAGCCTGTACTGGGTATTATGTCGGTTAAGGAGGAAGCTGCAGCGGAGGATGTTAGAGTTAAGGTGAAATTAACTTCCAGGAACTCCAAGTAGAGACGTTACGGGTGGGACTTTAAGTTATGTAAGCGTATGCTTTGTAGGGATAATTACGTCACTGAAATCAGAGAAACTTTTTGATCGTTCTGCCTAATACAACATCAACTTAATTATTCTATACTTTAGCAACTAACTACCCAACTTACTCAAGGACATGTTTGAATGACTTGGTTACGATTTCAAAGAACTGAGAAACCACGTCCAATGAATTATTTCCAGTCCTTAAGCACTGTCTCACCTTCTCTTAGCTGTGTATAGCGCACGCTGTCGCGCCAGATTATCTCCCGCTTCCTTACATCCTGCGCCTCTGACGCCCTTTCTGCCGGCGCCGTGCCATCGAAGTAGGCCGCCTTAGCCACCGAAACATCCATTGCGGCGCGCATGACGTCGCGGGCGGACCGTTCCGTCGTGCGCATCTTCCCGTTGGATTCCGGGTAAAGCCACATCATGACATACCCCATGATCGGCATAATGATGCCGTGTACAATGCTGCGCCCGAACCAGTTGGTGCGGCGGGCAATACCCTCGGGGCTGGCCATCGAGCCAGGGTCGACTCCGACCGTGGTAATGCGATGAAGTAGGGGATCCGAGTTTAGACGTCGTTGCAGCTCACTTCTGTTTTGCCAGCCAGCTCGTCAGCGCATAATTAAATTAATAGGAAGGTGGGCAAGAAGGGGTAATAACAAACATCATCGTGACCAGACAAAATTTGGCTGCCCCATAGCGACGCATACCATTGCGTGTGCTCGGATCGTCTGCCCTAGTACTCCAAGTCCCGAAGGCGATCTGGTCAATGTTCTCGCCGCTGATGAACGGCCTCCATTTGTCGTCCGGGTGTTTGTATGTGCCAAGGGTAGTGGTCAGCCAGTCATCCGGGTTATGCGCATCACTCCCGACGATTGTTATCCGCCCGGTTTCAGGGTCTATGCTCTGCAGCAGCATCACTGTAAGCAGCCAGTGGCCTAGGTAGTTTGCTACAAAGGCCATGTCGAAGCCACCCTCTTCGGCCCATGTCTGGGTCTCGAATTCAATGAATGCGGCGTTGAGCACTAGCCCACGGATCTGGGGGATAGTTCCAGCAGTCACGCGCCCGTTGATGGTAGTGGCCACTTGACGGACGTTAGTGAGGCTCGCGAGATCCAAAGAAACGACCTCGTAGGAGGCTTTTTCACCCCCCGCCTTCAAAGCGGACGTGAGTCTGCTGTTTGTCGCGGATCCGTCTCGGACTATGAAGATAGAATGGTAGGCTTGCAGCTCGGGTGACGAGACGATATGCCGAGCAATGGCGCTGCCGAGATGGCCATTTGCGCCAGTCACGATAATGGTACCCTTCCGGCTCGTCATCATGATGGCCTAATGAAAGTAGTGCGCCGAATCTTGATGATAGCTATCTTTGGTGGTGAAATCGACTTATTGAAAATCGGCGCGAAATGTTCTATGGCCCACCATACGAGAAATACTAATTACGAGCAGCCAAACGATTCTCTGTTTACACTGTCTGCATGGCTTGCTCATACTGTGCTGTTCCTAACATGCGCTCGGTCGGCCATGAAATAGCGGCGCAGCCTTGTTGTGTAACCATCTCCCAACTTGAAAATAAGATTCCAGCGCCACCAACACCAATCTACTCACTGCACTATGTGCGTAACATTGCAGGTTACCATCCGGTCAATCACAGTAGGCAGTGCTCTTTAATCTACTATAATCGCTCAATGCATGTCAGCCATCCGACGTGAATCCGAATTTGGCGGCCAAAACTTGACGTTAGTAGCCGGGTGCATGTACACCAACCTACAGATTCGGTGCTTCATAGTACGGCCCCCAAGAAGCCGATCCTGAATTGCCATCCATTTCGTAATCGTATCGGAGACGGGTGGTGTGCGGGAATCCTACGCACCCAGCGAACTTTTCAATCAGCTATTCCACACACTTTGGGGACCGATGACCATGAGGAACGGGGGCGAGACTACAGATTCTACCTTGGCCACCAACGAGCGACGCAACTCCTAGGCAATAGTACTAGGCACAGAGTGCATGTTGCAATTGCACCAAAAGGTGATTCTTATTTCATCAGCGTTTACCTCTGTAAAATATCCATTCATCCTCGGATCTCAATGTGACCGTTAAAGACTGAAATGAGTTAATGATCACCTTATTCTTTTTCAACAATAGTAACAAATTTGGTCGGTTTTATTATTATTGGCGTTTGGTAGAATCCTTCACCATGTCGCTGCATGACACCTTCGTGCTCCTAGGAGTCGTCGTTGGGACGTACGGCATTCTGCGGGTACTCATCTGGCTCACTCACAATCCCAAGGAGCCGCCTGTGCTTGTAGAAGGCATTCCCTTCATCAGCCCGGCAATCGGTATGATGGTGGAGAAACAGAACATGTTTACACGAATCTGGCGAGTATCTATTACCATTGCCTCATGTCATTCCGGCCAAAGATTAATCATAATCATCCAATAGGCAAGAATATCGGCACTCAGTATACACTCTGCGACTCCCCGGCAAGCGTCTCTATGTCATAAATTCCCTTTCTCTCTATCAGATAGTCCAGCACAACACCGATATCATCTCCTGGGACCCCGTCAAGGCCCATATAGCAGACAAGATCATGGGACGCCGCGTAAGTACTATAGGGCTCAGCGTAGTGCAAGATTTTGGTTGTCCAGCCGAGGGCGGCACCGTTTGGGGGTTAAGAAAGACGATTTATCCTCTTATATTCCCAGGTCGGCCCGCGCTTGACGAGCTTAACAGGACAGCTTTTCATATTATGGCGGCAGGTGTGGAGGATTTGGCAGCCAAGGGCTGCACCACTATAGCACTGTACGCCTGGCTCAGTCACCAGATTTTCGTTGCGTCTCTTGGTGCAGTTTACGGGCGAAATAACCCACTTATTAAGCCGGAGAACGAGTCTGCTTGGGGGTGAGTCCATCTCATCTTGAACTCGAAGAGTGGGATGCTAATTACTTCCACGTCAGTGTATTTGAAAAGGGGATATTTCTTCTTATGGCGGACGTCCTCCCACAGATTTCTGCCCGGAAGGCGATCCGTGCCCGCGAAACGCTTGTTAAAGAACTTGAAGAATACCTCCGACGCGGTGGCCAGCAGGAAGCCTCTTCCTTCGCCCAAGCTACCTTGAATCACTTCGCCCAACACGGACTTGACTATTCAGATCTCGCTCGGGGAGAACTCGGAAACATCGCGGGCATCGTCACATCCACCATGCGCTCCGTGTTCTGGTTATTTTACCACGTCGCCTCAGATCCCAGGCTCCTCGGCCTTTGCCGCAGCGAGGTTGCCCAACTGGCCCGGAATGACAGTAAACCCGAAGAAATTGACCTTGCTCACGTTTCTACCAACTGTCCCGTCCTCCTTGCCGCGTGGCAGGAAGTGCAGCGCATTCATGCTGACCCAGTCTTCTCGCGCGTAGTCATGCAAGACTTCCTCCTCGACGGGCGCTATCTACTCAAGAAAGGCTCGTCGGTCTTGATCCCGGCTGGTGTGATTCACCAAGACAGTGGGATTTGGGGGTCCACTTCGTTGGACTTCGACCACGAGCGATTCCTTGTGGATGGAAGAATGAAGCAGTATTCTGGTGCCGTGCAAACATTCGGGGCCGGAGCGGGCATGTGCCCCGGACGGCACTTCGTCAGCGTGGAGATCCTGCAGCTGGTGGCTATGCTAATCATGCGGCTTGATATCCAACCGGTTGGGGGTGGGAAATGGACAATGCCTAGCAAGCAACTGATGTTGAACGTGGCATTCCCGACGCCGAGTCCTGATGTCGAGGTAGAGGTGCTGCCGAGGACTGGCCCAGTATGGCAGTTCACGTTCACGAAGAACCAATCGGCTCGTGATGCCAAAATTTGACTAACTACCTGTCCGATATACTAGTAAAATTAGATAGTCTGGTAGAAACAACCTTAAGTTTCTGGTAGCTATCTATCAGGTCATGACAATTCGGACAATTGATAGGACCGCGGCTCAGGAACTTGGACGGTGGCTTGATCTGCATGAAAGAGGAGAGTAACAAATCACATCAAATATGTTGCCTTGCATGATGCGACCTTGCTAGGTTGGGCAATTCGCGTGCTGCTTTCGTGGCCTAGTTACCGTAATAATAGGTATCTAGGTGGTTGTATCCGCCTCCGACGGCGGACGATAGTACCGAATCCGCCAACCCACCAATTCATTTTATGTACTGCGATGTATATAATATATATGCATAATACATTAAATAATCGTTATTATATTTTTAAACTTATAAAAATTATAACGTTAAAAAACGTTAAAAAACGTTATAAATTATAATGTGTTATAATATATAATTTTTTATAATTTATAAAAAATTAATTTATTTAATTAAATTATAAGTTTTATTTAATTATTTATTAAATTTAAATAAATATTTATAATTTAAAAGCGATTTAATTAATTAATTATTTAATTAATTAATTAATTAATTAAGTTTAAATTTAATTAAAATATATTATATAAAAAATAAATATATAAATATTAAA